TCCCTCCCTCCCTCCCTCCTTCCTTCCTTCCTTCCTTCCTTCCTTCCTTCCTTCCTTCCTTCCTTCCTTCCTATTTCACTCTGTTAATATCAATCTGGCAATGTACATTTCTTCCTTCTGTCTTGTTCTCTCTCGATCTGTCCCCACAAACCCCTTCCTTCTAATGATTCTGTAAACCCTCCAATACTTCCCATACCTTTCCCAAATTGTTTCTGTATTTTCTCCATCTGCCACACTTATTAAATAAAAGGTTCCCCTCTTCTTTCACTCTTTCCCCAAATAGTTTCTTTGGGTAAATAACTGACTTAGAATAGATATCCTATAGATTATGATTTTTGCAGAACCTTACAAAATATCCCCATGTCTGAGGATTCCATAAAAAAATGAAACTGATCAGATGATACCTCCTGGTGATCACTGCAATCTCAATCACAAAGTGATTCTAAGTGGCTTAAACAATGAGATAAAAACATCAGTAAAAATAATAAAGCAAATGCAGAAAAAAATATAACTTAACTCATCAGGAAAAAAATTTAATACAACAATAACCACCGGGGACCAGATAACTTTATGCTTTACAGTACTTATAATATAGGCCCTATTGAAAGAGTTAGGAACTTAAGGTTTTATAAAATAGAAGCCCAAGTGAATCAGTATAATAAGTTAAAAAAAAAAAAAAGGTAAATCGGCACGTCATTCTTATTTTTAAAACAAGTTGGAGAAGACACATTAGGAGCAGGGAATTCCAGAGCACAGGAGTCACAACTAAGAATTTCTTCCCTTTAGTAATTTTTGGGCTGTCACAGTCAACAATTGCATATTAAAAGCCATTAGCGGTAAATAATAGCTCCCAGGATTCAATATATGAAGTCATTAATTCATTTAAGAGGAAGGGCTCTGCATATATAGGAATTCATGTGTAATTTTATTCATGAATTACATTGATATGTGGTACGTAATACCAAGCACTTTGAATTTAACTTGAAAGTTGGGAGTTAAACAGTTTAGAAGGGAGAGAGAGGCATTACACAATCTATTTTGTAACTTTTATTCAGAATACCAAAGTCACAACCATTGGATTCTATCTCTGCTCCTTCTATTAATTTTCACCTTAATTTTGAAAAAAAAAAAAGATCTAATAAAATCCCAAGTAGGTTTTGTTAATAAACACACACTAGCTTTTAAATGTTATAGTTTTATTTGTTTCCTTTACAAATAGCAGCTATGCCATTTTTACTTATTTATAATCAGCTATAAATTAGCTGTCATATTTGCTGGCTTTCTTTGAGTAATTTTGAAACAAGTTAAGACTGCTGTTAGTAATTTGTACTGAATGCATGTAGTATGTTTAATAAGATTTCAAAACATTGTGAAAGTACTCATTAAATGCAATCTTGGCTATAAATCATAAGTATCACAAGAAATGTTATATATGTTCATTATGTGCTGGGAAACATACATTTTTCAGAATCTTTTAGAGCACACTGCAAGAGATGCCTAGACTTGTCTTAGAATAGCTAACAGAATATTGTTAATATTATATTGAGATTTTTATCCTGTAATTTACAGTTTTGTTATGATCCTAAAATGTCATGTAAAATGAAAACAGTGTCTGCAGTTATTCTAAAAATAGAGTAAACATATCCAGTTTAAGAACATAGAAAATATTTGTGTTTTTTGTTGTACAGGGTGGAAAAGGAAGAATAGGGGTAGTGATCTCCTCATACATGCACTTCACAAATCTATCTGCAAGGTAGGATAACAAAACATTTAATGATTATTTGGCTATTTCCTAACTGCTTTCTGTCAGAATAAAAAAACAAAAACCTAAAGATAGTGGAAGGATTCTGGTTTTTAGCCATTTCTAGCATAACCATAAATGAAATCCAGAGTTGGTCTGTGAGACAAATGATACTTTCATGTCTTGTTCCTGAATACCTTTATTTCAATACCACTTTGAATGTATGTATGTATGTATGTATGTATGTATGTATGTATGTATGTATGTATGTATGGTATGTATGTCTGTCTGTCTCTCTCTCTCTCTGTGTATACACACATATATATTCACATATGTGTGTGTGTGTGTGTGTGTGTGTGTATTCTTCCTCCCTTCACTCCTAGTCATTCTTTCATTTCCTCCCTCCTTCCCTCCCTCCCACCCTTCCTCCCATTCCTGCTGGCTTCTCCATTTACTTTGCTTGTGGGAAGCTTGAAAAAAGGTGAAATTAGTCTATAGAAAGTTGCAAATCGAAGGCCAGCATGAAGATAAATGGCTGCTGCTAGTTGGGAGAGGAAAAGAATGGTGCATAGAAGTGTGTGGGTAAAAAATGGTACATAGGAAAGAGAGAAGTTGTGGAGGTTGGAAGGTATGGCAAGTATGCGCCAAAGATATTACATGGATAGATGGTGTAGGTCTCTTTGCATTTGAGCAGAACGGAAGCTGTCCCAATAGCAGAGGAACAAAATGTCAACTCCTAATTGACAAAATGATTTTAGAAAACTTCAAGAGAAGGAAGACCAATATGTATGTAGCACAGATTGATTACAAAAAGGCATTCAACTCTCTGCTACATGACTGGAGAATCAGGTGCCTAGGAGTCAGTAGAACAATCAGAAGCTTTGTGTAAAGATCTTTGGCACAATGGAAGACACAGTTGCAGATCAATGGTGAGAGACTGGGAAAGGTTAATATCAAGAGAGCAATATTTCATGGAGATTCACAATCACCACTACCATTTGCCATTGCACTGTTTTCTCTGTCAACAATATTGAATAACTCAGGCCATGGTTATCAATAATCAACAATATCTGCCAGATTATCTCACCTCCTTTACATGGACGATCTGAAACTGTATGGAAAAAGTCCATCTGAAATAAAATCCCTGCTCAACACTGCCTGTATACATAGCCAAGATATTGTAATGGTGTTTGGACTGGACAAATGTGCCACACTCATTACCCAACAAGGAAAATCGTGAAAACTGAAGGAATCAAGATGCTGCATGAAAATAACATTAAAAGCCTGGATGGAGATGATTATTTAAAATATCTGGGTATCTTTCAAGCTGACAACATCCTTCCAGCACATACTGAAGTCAAGAAAAAGATTAGAGGTGAACACATCAAGAGAGTGAAGATGATTTTAAAGTCCAAACTCAATGGAGGAAATACCATCAAGGCAACCAACACCTGGGCAATTCCAGTCATTAGATACATAGCCAGAATAGTGGAGACAGAGCAGAACTAAAAGCAATGGATAGGAAGACCAAACAATAATGACAATGAATCATGCCCTTCATCCTTGCTGCAACATTGACAGACTCTAACTACCAAGGCAAATAGATGGGCTTGGAATGTTGCAAATACATCAGATGCTTAAAGAAGAAAAAAGAGCTTTTGAATAATATTTGAAGGACAACAAAGAAGATGCACTGAAGTTAGTACACCAGAAAGGCTTACTGACTACTAGAGAAACCAAACTGGTCTACATGAAAGACCAAATGAAGAAGAAAATGGAGGCATGGGAAGACAAAGTACTACATGGCCAGTATATTTAAAAAAAAATAGCAAGGAAATCTGATTACAACAAGACCTATCAATGGCTAAGAGCAGGAAAGTCGAAGAAAGGGACCGAGGGACTAATTCTGGCTGCACAAGACCAAAGGACAAATGTATATAAAGCCAGAATTGAGAAGACAGCAACAGACAGTAAGTGTCAGCTATGCAAAGAAGCTGAAGAAACAATGGACCATCTGCTGCAAGATCGCACAGACTGATTACAAACAATGGCATGACAAATGATAATGCATTGGAAGATCTGCAAAAAATACCATTTGCAGATCTTGTATATTTTTAAATGTATGTGTTTAAATTAAAAACCAAGCATGCTTAAGGAAATCAAATAGCTGAGAGGAAAGATGGACATCTGACTCTCCAACCCCCTACCAGGAATTCTTCTCCCCAAGAGTGTCCCTGGTCATCCAAAAGTCACCTTGGGTCAGTTCTAGCTGCTCCCATTTGATCTAGGAGCCTGTTTGCCGACAAGAGAAGCAAATCCCCCTGCCATTCAGAACTCCATCATGGAGGAGGATCAGACTTTTAAAAGATATTTATTATGGTCTTTTATATTTATATTTACTTTTTATATATTTTTGCTTTTTATCTATTTTGCATTGTCCTTAGTGGCTAGACCAGTGGTTCCCAAAGTGCCCTGGGGGGCAGGGGGATGCCTTAGGGGGCGCTAAGAGGCAAGGGGGGAGCTAAGAGGCAGCAGAGTGGCGGTGGAGGTGAGCGGCAGGGCACAATTAAGGGGTGAGAAAAAATCCCGCCCCCGCAGTGTTCGAGGCAAGGCCCTGCAGGATCACCCCATTGACTTGCATGCTCTGGTGCAAGGAGTTCTGCCCCCGCATGCAGCGTTGGGAAAGGAGAGCAAAGCCAGAGTGGCTTTGCTCTCCTTTTCAAATATCCTGCTGCCGCTGTGTTTGGGGCAGCGGGGTGACGCCCTGAACGCAGCGTTGGAATAGGAGCCGCAGCATTGGGAATAGGAAATATTCAAATATCCCACTGCCATGTTCGGGGCAGCGGGGTGGCGCCCCGAACGCAGCATTGGGAAAGGAGAGCAAAGCCAGAGTGGCTTTGCTCTCCTTTTCAAATATCCCGCCACCGCTGTGTTCAGGGCGGTGGGGCGGCGTTCCGAACGCAGTGTTGGGAAAGGAGAGCAATGCCAGAGTGGCTTTGTTCTCCTTTTCAAATATCCCGCCTGTCAGCCTTCAAGATTTTCTCCCTTTGCTTTGCATCTTTTGGCTGTCATAAGTAATGGGGGGAGGAGGGGGGAAAATTATGGGAAGTGAGCTGGAGGTGTTACAAACTAGAACTGTATAAACTGGGGAGGGGGAGTGCATTCTTGCTTAGGTTTATATTCCTTGCTTAGCTTTCTTTTCTATGCTATGCGCAGCTGCAAACCTTTATCAAACTATGCCAAGGTCAATGGACAGAAGTCTCATCACCACCTGGAGATGTCCACATGATGATATTAACAACTTTTAATTGGAAGAACCATTTGAACTATTGGGGGTGGGAACATTGCCATTACTTTGTATATGTGATTTACGCGCCCATTTTCTCAGATTCAGAATTCTTTTGTTGCTACCACTTGATTTCCAGTAAAAGATATCTTTTCTCTAATTAAAAGAGTCTTAAGTATTTCTTTTTTGGATTTTGAATGGAGTACCAGCTGACATTATTCTGAATCTCACCTTACCAGCCCACCCGGAGAGATAATACCAGTTGACACCGCCGCCGCCGTGTTCCACCCCATTGAGCCCCTTGCACCGGAGGCACCTGCCCAAGCACGTCCGAACTGAGCAGTGCGCGAAATCAATTGGGTGAGCCTGAGAGAGGGAAAGAGAGAGGAAAGAGAGAGAGAGAGAGAAAGAGAGAAGGAAGAAGAGAAAGAGAAAAGGGAAAGAAAGAAAAAGGGACAAAGAAAGAGAGGGGGATGGAAGGAAGGGACAGAAAGAAAAAGAAATAAAGAAGGAGGGAGGGAGGAGAAAGATAATGAGATATCTATTCTAGTCTAATCACCTGCTCCAGCAGGGTTAGAAGGGAGTGTGTGCATGTGTGTGTTCTCCTTGTAATTTACCAGTACATTTTGGTTTTGCCTTCTTCAGAATTGGCACTGTAATACATTGGAGAAAAGTAATTTTTTAGGGTGGAGATCTGATCCAATGGATCCTGTTTAAAGCCTCAACAAAATGTGAGAGCTTTCTGATAGTCTTGGCCATGTTTCATCTGCAAAACCTTTAATTAATAGAAGCCAAAGATGTTTCAATGTGCTGGCAAAGATGCTGGCAAAGATGTTTCAATGTGGAAAAGGGCCTCTAAACTAGGCCTCATTTCAATCATGCATCAGCGCTCTCTCTCTCTCTCTCTCCCTCTCTCCCTCTCTCCCCCTCCCCCTCCTTCCCTCCATGCCCCCCCCTTCTTTGTCCTTTTTTCTTTCCTTTTTCTTTTCTTCCTTCTCTCTTTTCTCTCGCTCTCTTTCCCTCTCCCAGGCTCACCCCATTGATTTGGTGCACCGCTCTGCTTGGACTTGTTTGGGCAGGTCCCTCCAGTGCAGCGGGCTCAATGGGGTGGACCTGCGGGGCCGGCACCTAGAATGCGGCAGTGCCGGCACGTTTGAAAAGTAGAGCAAAGCCAGAGGTCAGTAATTTTTGCTGCAAAGAATCACAAAAGCTTCTGGGTTGTGCACAAGAAGGGACACACATATCAATGCAATTCAGCAACATAAAAAAAAAAAGAAATGCAAATAAAACAAATCAACAAGAATCGGCAAAGCATCTCTGATTAGATTTTATTCACTACTAGAATCTAATCAGAGATGCTTTGCCAATTCTAGTCCAATGACCAGCTCCAGCAGGGTTGGAAGGGAGTATGTGTATATGTGTGTGCATGGCTGTCAAACTCCAAAAACAGGTCAAGTAGTTCTGGGAAGGCCAGTCATAAATTAGAACACTTGCTAAGCAACCGGCCATTAAGTGAGGACCACTTGTATTTGGTTTGCCAGTCACCAAACCACACTCACCCAGTCACATGACCAGCAAGACACACCACCAGTCATGTGACCAACAAACCACGCCCACCCAGTCATGTGACCAGCAAACCACACCCTCAAATTAGGCCATGCCCACAGAAATTTGAATCCCGCCCCTGGGTGGGGGCATTGAGGATGAGTTTGTAGCACCAAGGGGGCGGTGGACTGAAAAAGTTTGGGAACCACTGGGCTAGACAGACAGACTGATGTTATTTTCAGGTGTTTATTTCCATTGTAGATCAAAATATATTTTATTTTGTTATTTTTAATAAATGAGATACAAACAATCCTGAATTTTTCTAGCTAGGGTGTTAATGGAGCTCAATGAGAATGTGCTTGTTACAGTCGTATTTAGATTTTTAGGGAACTTAATTTCATTCTCTTTTATTGATTGTGAAACTGGTTTTGTTTTTTTCTTATTTGCAAATATCACCAGTGAAAATATGCTTTATACTTAGCATGCTAGATTGGGAATGACATAAATTATGTAGGATATTAGAAAAATTGAATAATAAGGACACATGCAGAGTATAAGGCAATGTATATGTTTGAAGCTTGCTTATGAAGAGGTCTAATTGGATCCATACTCAATTTTCGTGGTAGCAACTGCAATTAATTAACTGACCCTCTAATTTTTGTTTTCCTACCAGAATCTCTCAGAAATTGTTTTTCCTGTTTTTGTTATTGTTGTTGTTTTGGGTAACAGATACAGTGTTAATTAAAACTGAAATAGTTAATAATTCAGGGTTTGAAGGGGAAAAAATCCTTCAATATTTTTCTTTCACTCTTTCCTTCCTCTTTATTTAAAATATAAGAGAGATTTATATAGAGTTGGTATCTGGCAAACTAAGGAAGGCTGGGCAGGATTTCTTTACTATTATTATTGAACAAAGGCCAGGTGGGGACTGTATTTCAAAGTATGGATATTGTTTTAAAGATATTATTTTGAAAACAATATTTATATACCATATTGTAGAACACTAGACATTGCTTCCATATAAAAACTATTTTGTTCAGAAGGGATGGGAAAAGAAGCATTAACATTTTAATTATCATTGTATCTGGAAGTCAATGCATTTGCCAAATACAACACAACATACTGCAATGCATTGGCATGATTCACTTTATAAGAACTTTTATTTCCAAGACTGCTCCACTAAAGGATTTACATTTTCTCTCTTTCTTTCACAATAGTGCAGATCAAGCCCTGGACAGATTTGCAATGAAGAAATTTTTTGATGATAATGTTTCTGATTTAATGCAACCATCCCAGAAAAGGTATTTCAGTTTCTCTTTTAGAAACATCTTTTCTCTTAGAAATATCTTCCAGTTTCAATAAATAAGATTTTTAGCTCCCCATGTCCATAGTTGATGGACAGTTCTTAAATTTACCTCTTTCAGCCCTTTTCTCTTCTTGGAAATATATGCATCTTGTTTCAGGTGTCAGTCATGTTTCTAATAGGATATTGCAGCAACGGATCCAAAAATTGGGAGGTTGTAAGAGAAATAAAAACTTTTTATGCTTGCTAATTTTAAAAAGGGAAAGGGAAGAAGGCAAAAAAGAATCAGTGATGGATGGCTCTGTTCTCAACTCACAATAACTTTTGCATTTTGGGTACTATCCAGTATCCTAGATGTAGCCTTTTGAATCTATGATGATCAGGTATTGATGAGCAGAGCAGGAGGCTGATAAGGATCAGAGAAAGATAGAGTGTCAAAAAGTCTGAAGAGGTGATTCAAAATGGTAAAAAAAAAAAAAATCTTAAGGTATCTATGACGTATCAAAATGATCTGGCTGTATCATTACCACTACTGTAAACAGCAGTTCCTGAAAGTACATCAATGTATAGCTTCGGAGAGAAAAATGTCAGCCCCATGGCACAAAAAAGGTTGGGGGCCACTGCTATAGAGCATGTCCTATATGAGCAAATGGTTGAGCTAGCTTATATAATGTTATGTTTTGTGTCATTTGATCAAAAGTTCCCTAGGGAATTTCAGATACTTAACTGCCAGAAAATAAGGGAAAAATTGAGTGTTGTTGCATTCTAATTAATAGGTCCTAATAATTTTCTTGAATGGAGGAAAGAGACACAGATCTTAACTTGGAGATGGCCGGGGTGAGGTGGTAGGGAATAGATATCTCATAGCAACCTCTTTACTTTCTGAAATCAAGCTTCAGTACCAGTAAGAAATAACTGAGCAATACTCCTCAATGGATTTGGGTCCTTATGTCTAGTTCCTGGATGGGTCTAGGACAACTTGCCACAGCCAATTCCCTGTGTCCATCTTGTGGAGCCATGTCATCATAACCAGCTCACTATGGTCATCTCGTCATGGTGGTCTTGCCATGGCCATCTTGCCACAAGACAACTTGCTGCAGGACAATCCATGCAGGATAACATAACACAATAAATGCTATCTGCCATGTTATCTGTTACTGGTACATTATTTGCATTTTTGCCAATGGAAATAATATAGAAGAAACAGTGGTGAATAACAATTATCGCATTGAGTTATCCGCATAGAATTGTCCTGCAATGAAATGGCTGTGGTGAGTTGGCTGCAGCAAGTTATCCTGTTCTGAGGTTGAGTAGTTTCTGCACACAATAATTAACATAGGCACATGTTTTAATTTATTGTGCAGTAACTATATATTTCTTTTTCAGTCAATATATTTCTCTAAAATAGACATTCCAAGATTTGTACTTAGGTATTGGGATAATACTTACTTTACTGTTCATGCTAACTAACAATACTGGACCTAATATGAAAGAAAATCCCAATTTGTTTATTGTATTTTTTTCTTCCAAAAATAAAGATGAATTCATTTGGCATAACAAGCATTGATTATAAACAATTATAATTACATCTGATCATGCCAGGTGATTCTTTTCCGTTATCCTCTATCTGAATTGAAGCTTACAAAAGCTTGCCATTGCCCTAGCCAAACCTCTATGCACAATCTATGAGGTATGCTTCAGAACCAACTCCTTGCCCGACCTATGGTCATTAGCCACAGTCATATCTACCTTTAAAATGGGAGAACCTAGTCTGGTTGAAAATTACAGACCAATCTCCCTGTGTTGCATCACCTGTACAATCATGGAATCAATTATAAACCAATCCATCACCCTCCACTTAAAAACAAACAACCTGCTTTCTAATGAGCAGTTTGGTTTCAGAAAGAAATTGTCCTGTAATCTGCAACTCTGCAGAAATATTTGGACCACACATCTTGCCCAGGGTAAAGCAATTGACACAATTTACATAGACTTCTGTAAAGCCTTTGATTCAGTGGTGCATGACAAACTACTGTTGAAACTAAGTTCTTATGGCATATCTGGATCCCTGCACAAGTGGATAGCCGTGTTCCTGTCAAACAGGCAACAAATAGTCAAAATAGGGTGGGCTCTATCAAATCCAGCACGAGTTAGCAGCAGTGTTTCCCCAAGGCAGCGTTTTTGGACCCATACTCTTTCTGCTTTACATCAGTGGCCTATGCCAGTGATGGCTAATCTTTCAGTCCTTGTGTGCTGAAAGTGTGCATGTGTGCACATGTGCACATGCACGTGTGCCTGCACTCATAATGCAATGTGTGCACGACCCCCCACCTCCCTGTGCATGCACACACGAACCCCCTCATGCCGTGTGCCTCTACGCATGCATGCACCACCTCCCATGTATGCCACATACCTCTGTGCATGCATGCGCAACCCCGCGTGTGCCACATGCCTCTGCATGCATGCGCTGCCCTCATGTGCACTGCCTGTCTCTACGCATGCATGTGTGACTCCTGTGTGTACCCCACCCCCTGCGCAGCAGATACCAAGCAATCAGCTGGCTAGTGGAAGGCATGCGTGCGTGCAGAGTGGACCTGAACTGGGGCGACGGCTTGCATGCCGGCAGAAATGGCTCTGCGTGTCACTTCCAGCATGTGTGCTATAGATTCACCATCACGGACCTATGCAATCATATTAAAAGCAGCTGCTTCCTCTTCGCTGATGCCATAAATTTTTTTAATACCACGGACAATGCTGCTGCTCTACAAAGCGATCTTGACTATGTGTCAGAATGGTCATGCAATTGGCAACTCCAAATCTCAACTAATAAATGCTCTGTCCTACATATTGGCAATGAAAAGCAGAACACCAAATATAAGTTGGGTGGAAACGATCTTGTAAATGACCGTCACTCTGTCAAGGACCTAGGAGTACTCAAACGATCTAAGCTCCAGAGCTCAATGTAATAGCATTGCCAAAAAGGTATTAAGAGGTTAACCTAATTTTGCAAAACTTCTTCTCTGGTAACATTGTATTGTTAACTAGGGCATACAAAACCTTTGCCAGACCAATTCTTGAATACAGCTCATCCCCCTGGAATCCATACTGTATATCAAACATTAATACGATCGAGGAGATTCAGGCATTTCACGAGAAGACTCACAATAGAATCTCTACTCACAATAGAATCCCTTATGCCACCAGGCTTGAAATTTTGGGCTTGGACAATCTGGAACTGCGCCGCCTGCAGTCCGATCTAAGCATAATACACAAAACTGTCTGTTACAATGTCTTACCTGTCAACGTCTTCTTCAGCTTCAACCACAATAATACACAGGCAAACAATTGATACAAACTCAAGGTAAACCACTTCAAACTCTTGCAGAAAATACGACTTTAGCAACACAGTGGTCAATGCCTGGAATGCTCTACCTGACTCCGCTGTTACAGCCTCAAACCCTCACAGCTTCAACCTCAAACTGTCTACAGTGGCCCTCACCCCATTCCTAAGAGGTCCCTAAAGGGGGTCTGCATAAGTGCACCAGCGTACCTATCGTCCCTGTTTTACTGTCCCCATTTATCTGTATTTATTTCCTTGTTCATGTTTATGTTCATACTTATACATGCTATCTAGTACATGCTTGACAAATAAATAAATAAATAACTGTGAAGTAAGAAATATAAACCACATAGAAACTGTTATGGTGGATTTTAAGAGAAAGGGTACCTTGGAACAGGTGGAAATTGGAAGTACAAATTTAAAATAAATGGACATTTGAGACCAGAATGGAAGAGAGATGTGATTGGATAATTATTATTATTTGTAGCTTAATATCATATTGCTTGATAGGAAAAGTAGAGGAGGCTGGGGAAATTGTTGGTAGTATGATTTGGTAGCCATAGTTACTATCCTTTTTTCATAAAGCATTCAATAAGTTTAGAATTTGTTTAAAGAGTAGAGGGCTGAATAGTGATTGAGAAAACAATGTTGGAAAGAAAACCAGATCTGGCAATGCATCTTTCGCTACATAAAAACTTTCCCAGGGAGCCACTATTTTTCCTATTTATTTGTCAATACATAGCTGGTATTGATATAAAAAAGGAAACACATATCCTCTTGAAACATTACACTATAATAAATATTTACTCTGAAAAGTTTTTTTTACTTAGATCTTTCTACAAATAAATTCATTATTTGAAAAGTTTGGTGTATTTGTAAACATTATCTAGAAAGGCATAAATGAATAGCAGTGTGGGAGCAAAAGGAATAATGCCTTTTCAATATGGACTATTAAATTTAAAGCATTCTGGTTTTTTTATATAGTATTTCTTTTATCAAATACTATTCACAAGAACTGAAGCCTTTGACTAGTTAATGGAAGAGAATATTTATAGCTCAATGCTGAACTAGGTTTCCCCCCCAGACCAAACATCATCAGTGAAAGAATGGAATGGGGTTTGCTCTTATTTTTTTTATACTAGTAGCTTGCACTGTTGGTCATGTTCTTGATGGTTGTTTGATTAGGCTGTTGTTTACTGTTTGCTTGTTTATCTGCATTGGTAGTTCTTTGATTGCTTACTTGTTAATCTGTGCTCATACGGGTGTTAATTGCTGGTGAGAAGGTGTTTTTGATTTTTCTGTTTCCTTTGGGGCTCTTTTGAGTGGTATGTAGATATTGTTTTTCCCTATGTGCCTGTTGATCAGAGGTGATATTCAACAGGTTCTGACCAGTTCTGGAGAACCGATAGCAGAAATTTTGAATAGTTCAGAGAACCAGCAAATACCACCTCTGACTGGAGATTTTACAGTATCCTTGCCCTGCCACGCCCACAGTACCGGTAGTAAAAATATTTGAATCCCACCACTGCTGTTGACCAAATTATCTGAGTGCCAGGCCTCCAATAATTCTCTTACACTTTTTGGACTTGGTTTGATCCAGAAGCATATGGTTCCCCAGTTGAAACTATGTTCATACGTTGTGAAATTAAGGAGTTTTCATTATGTACTCCTGACTGCTAATTGGTGCTCAAGGTTTCTTCTGCTTGCTACTGTATATTTCCCCTACTCATTCAACACAACTCTTTTCCTTTTCAGATATGTGCAGTTTTTGAGTGATCTTCTCTCTGGATCGGTAAAAATGAACACAAACCCTCTATTCTTACATTATGTTATTCTGCATGAAATCCCAAACTTTGGTATTAGTGGAGGTAAGGCTTTCTTTAAAAAATTACTTATTTTGACTTCAGTCTTCTTCATTTTTCATCATTATCTGTTACCAGAGGCAAAATCTCCATCTTTGCTTATCCTGAGAAATCCCTGTTAACTGTTATGTTGGCTGTAATGATTGCATCCTCACAGTGTTTAATTCTCCTAATGAGGAGAATAAATATCCCCTAATGAAAAAGGATCTTAAAGTTTGGCTTTCTAAAATAACTGGGAAATCTCCAGAATATTATTATCAGGGGATTCTATGCAAATGTATTCTGATAAATTATACACTCTGATAGTCTTTATGATTATTATTCTTTTCATTGTTACACAAAGCTAATTTTGATAGTCTTTAACTTATGGCCATGCAACCATGTTGCAAGCTTCTGGCCAAGCACTACCTAAATTAGGCTTTTAAGCATTTAAAAATTTATGTTCTTATATTTGTATTTATACCTATGCATAAAATTTTAATAATGATGCTTCTGACATGGATAAATAATAAATAAAAACTTCAACTGAGAGAAGCCATCATGAGGGGCTTGTTTAATGACCACGTCACTCAAGACTCCAGACCCAACTGTGGTAATAAGTAGAGGACTACATGTTAATAAGAGATACCAACTGGAATTATTCTTTATGGCTCAGACCAATACACTATTATTATCACCACTAATGCTGCTACTTATTTATTTATTTATCTAACAGGAATGAAGGGAAAAACATCAGGATTCTGAGCTTTCCAGAACAATGGCATTTGCTAGTATTTTCATCAGATGTAATATCTATTGTTCCAGTGCGCTGAGGATTTTCCTTCCAGAGGAGAAATCCCTTATTGGATTGAAGGAATGGACCTTACATCTGGCAAAATCAGTAGCAAATGTCGACATTCTTGTGATTAGTCTCCCTAGTGGGGTAGGAAGGATCCAGGTGTCCTTGGTCTGATGTCATGCCTGGGCTTCATCCAGGAGGCCAAACATTCTCTCCAGCACTCCACTTGATGGCTGCATGATTATTAAACAGCTGCAACTGGGAGAGCTAGAAATGCGATAGTTGAGCAAAGTGAGCATGTGGAGATCTTATTTAACAACCACTTCATTCCATGACTAAGATTCTGGCCCCAATTGTAGTCCAAAGGAGGCAGCTAGTTGTTTAAAAGTCATTCCAAGTAAAATCTTTCTTCATGGCATTAGTGGCTCCTACTACTCACTACTAGTACTACTACTACTATTACTGCTACTATTACTACTACTACTACTACTACTACTTTATTTATTTATTTATTTATGTCATTATTAATATGCAGCCCAGTGACTCCTAGATTGAGCCAAGCACCCAATTTAATTGTTTTTCTAAACCAGAGTATCCCATATGATGTACAGCAAAAGTAGGGTCAGTGTTTCTCAAATGTTCCTTAAAAAGTTTAGATATTTGTAATTTCCCCCCTTTTAGGTTGTCAACCATTTCTGAAATTGTATGAGGGCATGCTGCCAGTTTATACATCAGGAGTATAGTAAGTAGACACAAACAGTTTTGATGTGTGCCTTCTCTGTGCATTATGTTATATTATTCAGATCACAAAGCTAAGTGATGTTTAGCAAAATGTGATAGGAAAACATGATTTAGATTCTAAACTTCATTTTTTCCTGTGTAAAGAATGATATTCATGACTGATGATATAGTCTCAACAGGATTGCATTTTTATTATGTAATATTGGAATTGGAGAAGTTGAAGTGTTTTTCTTCTGAGAATATTTCAAATGTACATGATTCTCCTGTTTTTCAGTAGCACAGGGCTAGAGAAGCAAAGCAGAGCCTGCATTGCAATTGAACCAGCCCAGCTATTAAAAGGAGATATAATGGTAAGTGTTCTGTCTCACTTTTCTTCTTTCCCAAAAGATGAAAGAATACAAACTCACACAAACACAGGCAGGCAAGCTGGCTCGGACTTCACAGAGTTAATTCTTTGGAACTGATAATATCCTTGACATTCCAACACCCTCTGCCTGCCAAGTCCGAACTGATAACAAATAAAAATCTACTCACAGAAAATTACAAGGCAGTCCACAAAAATCATTCACGAAGAAAATCTGAAGTAAGATTAAACTTTGTCCCGTACAAAGTTCCAGCCGAAAACACACCCACTTTTATCCCCTGTGGGGTGTGGCTCAATGACTCAGCTCACTCTCTGACCCTCCCACGCCTCCTACGTTGCTGCTCACGTTTCTCCCTACGACGCTGCTTAGGATCAAGCCAACACTCTTCCTCTTTACTCCCTGTCAGGGGCTTCTCCGATATGCCTTCCTCCTGATTAATCTCAGGCTGTTCCTCTCGGTTGTCTGATGAAACCTGAGGCATTATCAGGGAGGAAGGCATTGCCAGAGAGGAAGGTCCTGGGGAGGAAGGCATTCCCAGTTCCTCCTCCTCATCTTCCAGATCTTCTTCCTCTGACAGGATAGGCTCAGGAATCAGGGCCACAACAGGTAAGTGTTCCATAAACTTTGTTTTGGATTATGGATAGAGTTCAGAGGAAGAAAATGCATTCCTAAATGCAAATCCTATACTATTGTTAGCAGGTTTAATATTTTTAAGATGAGCTCAAGCAAAAAATTGTAAGAAAGGACTGATTCCAAAAAGTACTGTTTTTTTACTTAAGTTAGTTGGTGAAATATATTTGTATTACTTATTAATTAATTGATTACATTTATATTCCATTTCAATTGGAAAAAGCTGTCAGCAATTTACAAGAAAAACATTAAAGTGTCCACAATAGTTTGAAACATCTTAAACAGCAATATCACTAAAAGGTGTTCTACCAAATTACTCCTTTTGTATGTCATTCTGAATGCAATCAGGGAATGAGCAAGTCTGATTCACATTGGGAGATTCTTCCAAAGGAAGCAGCAGCTTCTAGTCCAATTCCTTTTAAATTTTAAGCAAATTATCTTGCAGATACTCAAGTAATCTGTGAGTCAAACTGACCATTAAATTGTATCAGAAGTCATTTATGACATAGTATGAAAATAGTGCTGAGTACCAGTTAGCATACTGTTAGATTCTGGACCAACTGGAAGTCTCAGTAATAAAGTCAACTACAATAGTCTAATTGATGGCAATACAGGTATAACTTATAGGTAGTTTTCACTCTTATAGCCATTCATTTAGCATCCATTTGAACTTATGAAGGTGCTGAAAAAAGTGAGTTATGACTGGTCTTCACATTTATGACCATCATAGCACCTCCACAGTTATGTATCCAAATTTGGCCACTTGGCAACTGGCAGATATTTACCACGTTTGTAGTATCCCAAATTCATCTGATCTCCATTTTTTGCTGACTTCTGACAAGCAAAATCAATGGGGGAAGCTGAGGACTTATTGGGCACCCTGAAAATGTCACTGGAGAAGGACAAGTGGTCCCAAGCCCACAAGAGGGAATGCATGATGCAAGATGGTTTATCTTGGGTGGGAGCCAAATTGCACATCCCTGAAAGTTAATGGATGATGGTCTTTCAGAAAAGCTATGACTCAAAAGTTGCGGATCATATTGTTTTTGTCAAAAGCTTGAACTTGGTTAAGTACCAATTTTGATGTCCCTCACTAAAGAAAAACATAGAAAGCTATGTAGCCAGCTCCCCTATCTTTGCTCCTGCAAAAGGCAGCAAGGGAATACTCTTCCAGCCAGTGATTAAGCCCAAAGCCCAATGGAAAGAGATTTCAAAGGATTTTATGATAGAGTTATCCGAGAGTTCGGGAAATACCATAAATTGGGTGATAACTGATTTATTTCCAAACAAGTGCATGTTGTGCCCTCTCAAAAAATCCCATCTGCTCTCACCGTGGCCAGATTGTTTGTACAGCACATCTATAGACTACATGGAACCCCAGAGAGAATAATCTTGGACCATGGAGTCTGGTTCACTTCATTATTTTGGCAAGAGTTCTTAAAACATTTGGGGACCACTCAGGTGTTTAGCTCCTCACATCATCCAGAAAGGAATGGAGGCTGTAAATATGCAAATTGGGTCTTGGAGCAATATCTCATGTATTACATTAATTATCAACAGGACAGTTGGACCTTCTTCCTTTCACTGAGGTTGTTTAAAACAACTCAGTACACGGTATCACTAGATTCACCACCTTTATAGTGGTCATGGGGCAGGACTTTGTTTCTATCCCTGAGTTGCCCCAGGCCACCCGAACTGACCTCCTCCTTAAAGGCGTGTAACATCCAACTTCAAAATATCTGGCCAATAGTAAGGAAAGCACTGGAGGAGGCAAGGGAAGTGTAAAAAAAACAAGCTGACAAAAGGCGTGCGAAACCAAAAGACCTTAAAGTTGGGGACAGGGTCAAATTTATCTACCAAGTACTCACAATCTAGACAACTCTTTAAGAAGCTGGGTCGAAGTATATTGGTCCTTTCCCCATAAAAAGAGTTATTAACATGGTCACCATTGAACTCGAACGTTCTAAAACACTTAGATGAGTCCAACCAGTATTCCATTGCAACCTCTTGAAACTGGAAATCATCTCTTGCTATGCCCAACAGTGAAACCATCTCTCAACCTGATTATGATTGAAGGTGAACAACACTTCAAAATCAAAGCCATTTTAGACTCTCACACACATTGAGAAAAAACCCAATACTTAGTAGCATGGAAAGCTTTTCCATCTTCTGAAACTGAATGGGTGAATGCCAAGCACATCAAAGCTGCTTAAGTTGCTTAAGAAATTCCAGGACCAAAACCCAGAGAAACCTTGTTGAATGACGACTAAATACATCTATACTTCTCTCTCTTCCCTTTTCCTCTCTTGGGAGTGATCTGGCTGGTGCAGGCCTGACAAAAAGAATACTATTACCAGATTAAATTGTAAAAATTGATGTCTTAACTACACATTATGTATATCTTTTAAGTTTTCATAATTTGTAATATAATTATAGGAGGCTTGCATTTATTACATTTATTTATTATACATTTATTGCAATATATTAAATGTGGCCTTAGACACAGAATTCAATACTCTGAGAATTTCTATCCTCACTGTTTTTAGAAAACAACTTTTTCCCCCCTCTCCCTGGGTCTTGGTTATGGAAAGCATAAGTCTGGTTTATGCATCTTCTTGACATAGACTATGATTCTTTGGCATACATATATTTATAGTGAAAGATGGAATAATACAGTTCAGTTTATCAACAGAACTCAATAGCTCATGTCTCAGCTTGTTTGTCCTTTTTATTGAATTTCAAAATTCTCTACATTGACATTCCCAGTAATGAACACCTTAAAATATGCTGTAAGATATACATTTTTTCCAAGGAAAAAATGTCAATTGAAAAATACACACAAGAATTAAAAAAGGGAAGAGATTTTACAAAGTAGGGATTGGGTGAGCTGTTAACCATCAAAATTCTCTTTAACTAGGAAATAGCCTTACTGTGTTTCTGATTACTGAAGAAACGTGCAAAAATAACTATAATCAAACAATGCCTAAGTTATGTTTGGCTGAGAAAGACTGACTGGCTCAAGGTCATCCAACAAGCTTTAATGATTGACAGTGGATTAGAACTTGGGTTTTCCTGTTCTTATTCTACCAGCTTAAACACTAAACTACATTGGATCTTTCTCATTTGGGACAGAACTATGATCCAATACTTTTGTTCCATCTCTTTTTATGTCCATGAATATAAACCTGTTTCAAGATTTTATCTAGAATCTGCAGAAGGAAGTGTAGTCATATGGTTGGATGGTTCTCTGTAAGTAAATTATCTGTAAGCTTGCTAGATGACCGTTCTTTCAAAGATATTTTGTTACATACTTTTCTCTCCCATATAGTTTTCCATTTATAAGTATTGGGAGACGATTGGTAGTGGATCATCTTGTCAAAAGAATAAATGAAAATAGTTCAGATCAAACACAATATACTTTCTGAGAGAACCAGCTTCACTTATTTCATGCTATATCTTCATTGTACGTAATAGGATAACTTGGATAATATAGGGACCATAAGAACTATCAGAAATGTTTTTAAATTGTTAAGAATAATAAATAATTTGATCTTACAAGTACAGACACTTTGGATTTGAATAAAAGAGGAGAAGGAATATAGTTTATCTAGATGCTTCTCTTGTTTTCTTCTTATTGAATCCCAAGACAATGTACTGGTAATTTTCTCAATTTCTAGTAGAATGACTAAAAGAAATTAAAAAATGAATATTGAAACGACTCCTGAAAATTTTGTTTAATTAATATTTTACTGTATTAAATGAAAATTGTATATCCTTCTGATAATTTCAGATTTTGAATTGTAATTTATATGGATCTTATTTCATATCTGGGCTGGGGGCATTGCTCCCATTACTCCACCCTTCCCTTTATTTTGCTAACAAATAACACCAAGAGGCAGTTTGGTAATTGAGACTTGGGAAACCAAGATGCAAAAAACATAAGCTATATGGCTAGTCCTTTTTGCATCTTGGTTTCCCAAGTCTCAATCCAATCTTCTGTTGTCTTTGCTAAGAATCTGTAAGTAGAATGTAAAACTGCTGTTTATGTATATTTTATGTAGTTGCCCAGGTACCTTGAAGTTTCAGGAATGCATAGATGTATGAATGTTTGTTTATCTGTTTATTTCAGCTCAAGTGTTGCTGTAAAGAGTACCAGTATGGCATTCGGAGTAATGTTTTCCGTCTGCAGTTTCACACAGGCGCTGTTCAAGGATATAGCCTAATATTTAACAAAGAAGACTTGGATGATGCAAACAAAGGCAAGTCTCCATTTTAGAAGGAGAAATTATAAAGCAGAAATTTCCTGCCTCGTTGTTATCTAGAAGTTGGAAATGGTTATTTCTAAGGTTGCACTTTCAAGCAATAAGAACTTTATAATATATTACATGACCCATGACCATTCTTTCAAAGATATTTCCTTATTTAAGAAGAAAAAAAAGAATGACTGTGGGTGGGCAAAAATGCAGTGGGAGCAGGAGCAATAGCAATAGGACTTATATACCATTTCACAATGCTTTACAGTCCTCTCTAAGCAGTTTACAGAGTCAGCATATTACCCCAACAATCTGAGTCCTCCCTTTATCAACCTTGGAAGGATGGAAGGCTGAGTCAACCTTGAGCTGGTAAGACCCAAACTGCTGAACTGCTGGCAGTTGGCAGCCAGCCAGCAATATAGCAGAATTAACCTGCAATATGGCATTTTAGCCACTGCATAGTCACCACTGTGCCATCACTACTGTGCCACCTTGACAACTTCTAACTTCCTGCTGGCTTCCCCACTGACTTGTGAGAAATTGGCAGGGAGTGTCAGAAATCATAATCAGGTGACCAGGGCTGATTGCAGCTATCCTGAAGTGGCCACAACTTTGTGAATACAACTGGTTTGAAAATCTTAACATTTCAATTACACTTGAGTAACAGTCCCCAATTTAGAATGCTTTCCTTAAATTAGCATATTTGAGGTACTTTGATTCAAAATATTTTGTGCTTTAATGTATCATTTGTTTTGACTTATGAACTCTTTACAATGAAAATGTCATGGATTTTTTAAGTCGGAATGTAGAACTGGGATTTTATTTTCATGTCTGATATTCATGCAACTCTGTTTTGTATGTACTTCATAAGATCTCTGATTTTTCAGAACTATTTTCTGCTATGCTTATTTTATAGATGATCATTTTCCTGAAAATGGAAGAGTTGAATTGATATTTTCGAGTTCCCCAGAAAAAACTCCAGGTGAGTAAAATATTATCTAAAATTTACTTCAGCTATTCTCAATGTCTTATTCAAAGGAAGATCATAGAACTATAATTATAATATTTGGTTACTTGTATCTACATTTTCATTTCCAAGTACAGTTATTTACATTCTGCAAGTCCCTCCTAATTCCAGAATTCTGTTTGTGCCAAAAATAACATTGGATTCCTGAGTTTTAAAAATACGATACTGCAATCTTGTTCAAACATAAAATTCTAGGGAAAATTCTTAGCCTAGTGGCAATCCAACTGGAAGCAGTATAGGAGATGGGAACATTGTTTTCCCTGCAAATCACTGTGGAGAAGAGGGGAAAGTTGCTACCACACATTCTTTTCTGTACTATATCTGCTCAGAAACACACTTGATACTTTTCTTATTCTTGTTTGAAAAAGACACAACTGCTTATATCCAATGAGTATTATCTCTCTGTCTACTTAACTGCTCTGTTGAGAATTGCTGGTTAAGTCTATTATCTGGAAAGATCCTGCATTAAGACAAAACAAGGAAAGCCTATTTCTCTATATTGTGAAAAAATGGGAAAAACGATAGAAGCTGTATTATGAAGTTAGATCAATGTCATTTTTGGATTGGTCTTCCGGTTTGAGCTTCAACGACAGACCAAAACCTCGTCTCTCTGAGGCTTCGATCCGTGCTCGCCGCTGGAGCGCCCTGAGCCAGCTGGTTTTGGGGCTAAGCCACCCCGTAGAGGTGGTGAAGAGGGGGGAGACTGCCTGCAGGGTTGAGGAGAGCCGTATCTCTCCTCCCCAGCTGACCCTTACTCCCTTTCCCGAAGGCGGTTGTAGCAGTGGTCAGAAATGGCCACCACAAAGAAGAACTCGACCGGAAAAGAATGTGCAGGAGGAAGATAAGAAGAGAAAGTTTTGGTTGACCGGGTCAAACAGCAAAAGCAACAAATAAGGTACCCTGGAATTTAAACTTAACAACATTGTTCCCAAAGAAGATTTTGAAGCTGCGAAGGAGAGAGAGAAGGGAAAGGATTAGATTTTTTTCTTCCCTTCCTTATACTGACAGCTAAGAGACTTAAGCAAGAAACTGAAAAAAAAATCCACTTTGACATTAATAGGCATCTAAGCTGAAAATAAAAGTCAAAGGGATAATAAAGATTTTTGGACATTTAAAAGTTTTTAAAAGGTGGAAAGGTGGAAAAAAAAAAGAATAGAAGGGCAGGATCTGGAAAAATGGAGGAGACTGCCTGGAATTAAGGAATGGAACTGTAATTAAAAGGAACTTACAGTGAAATTTTAACAAGATTCCTCAAAGATACATTTTAATGGAAACTTGGTAACAAAATAATAGAACCCCAAGAAGAGAAAGTGGAAAAAAGAAGCAAGTAGAAACAGCCTTGGATTATTTGGATTACTTGGTGATTTTTGGTTCTTGCATCTAGATGACTAAAATTAACTGGGTGGTTGTTTAAAAGTTTTTAAAATGGTATCACTCTTAGAAGAACTGAAAACGGAACTTAAAAAATGGAAAGAAGATGCACAAGAAGGGAGAAGTTCTTTTGGCTTCGTGTTTCAATTCTTAGAAATGGAGATCTGGAACTATGAGAAGCAACAAGAAACGCTTGCAGAACAAGAAGATTGGGACAAAGAAGAAGCCATCTTTAATGATCAAATAATTTCAAGTGGGGGGAAAAAAGAAAAGTGGGGGAAAGAGAGTGAAAGGTTTAAGATTAGAAAAAACAACCAAAAAGAAGAAGAACAATTTGAAAGATAAGTATAATATTAGAAAGCAACAGAAGAGGGGATTACAGATGAGAGAGTTAGAAGTAGAGAGACGAGGGGGTAAAAAGGGGAGGGAGAAGAAGAGTGGGAAGAAGGCAAGGAAAAGAAATTGTAAAAGACAGAAACAAGAAATGGAGAAACAGGGAAAAGATATAAGGATTGTAACCATAAGTTTGTTTAGAGATAATGGGTGAAAATTTAATTGTAAAAGGGATTCTGCAAAGGTACATAAGATAGCTTTGTTATATTACAAATAGAAATAACTTTAGAAAATACGATGATGGATAAAATATTTATTGTAATGCAGTGGGATGTTTGTTAATAAATAAATGAATTAAAATGATTGAGAGAATTAAAAGGGAACATTTTTAATTATTAGTAATGATTTATAAAAATATAAGTGAGAAATATGGGGGGGAAAAGAATTAACTATGGAAAGTTTATAAGTGTTCCCAAGGAAGTATGATATTTAATTGAAAAGAAATGTTAAAGATGTTAAGATTTTAATGCATATTAATGGTAGAATTGAATTGGAATGGAATGTGTTTTATTTATATATATATATATATATATATATATATATATATGGAACAGAACATAAAAATGAGCATGAAATTGAGTTTTGTGTCTGTATGAAGAAGTGATAACCTGGGACCATGCTATTTTCAAAAAAGATGTTTTATTTGTATTTTGTTTTTGTGAAAACCCAAATAAAATCCCCCCCCCCAAAAAAGTCACTTTTGGATTGGTATGATCTACACATTTTCATGCAACTCGTGTTACTTTTCCATATGCAAAGATACAGAATTGTGAATATATTCAAGTTTGGATTGAGAAATTCTATTCCAGCATTTTTATTATATTTGGCATATTGGTTCACTTCCAGAGATATGGTAAAACAATTGGCCAAGAAGAGAAGAAGCAAAACCCTAGGAATTAATGTTCAGAGTAATTTTCGTCTGTTTCCTTGTTAAAAAGTAGAATTATGCTAATAGCATAGTGGGAAGTTTAGTTATTATTAAAAATAATCAGTTTCTAAGATGCATTCTATGCAGTTTTTCAGTAACTGATTTGCCAATTTAGATTAAGTGCAGAAATCACTACTAAGAGGTATATAACACTTTATGTTAAAAAATGAATATACTTACTGAATATGTTTATTATTATTTTTTCTAAAATTGCTTCTATGTAGAAAATTAAGAATGAAGAATTATTGTTGTTGTTGTTGTTGTAGTAGTAGTAGTAGAGGTAGCTCTTCCACGTATAGAAGGCTCGATTTGGGAAATAACTTATATCTAGAGCATCTCATACACATACACACAGTTTTCTCATTTGGTTGAATCATGTTTTCTTATATAAAGACTCACGATGAGCATTAATGTCCTCAATGAATCCATATTGTTCCAATATTTCACGATATGAGTATCTACAAAATGTCTGTGGAATAATAGTAGACTATAACAACTCAGATTCTTTGGTTTGCTGGGGTTCTTATGAATGTTTCAATCCTGATGGTGAAGGTGAGTGTCCTGAAAGTAGAAAATCATTTTAAAAGAAGTGTAGCAGTCATTAGTACTAAGAACAGATAGGATCTCAATTTAAAAGCAGTTAAGGAAGTCCTGTTTCCCAGCACTAATTGCAGGTTACATGATAAATGCTACTAAAACATTTTTTCTCTTTTCAGTAAACATTTTGAAATTGGTGCATAATTTTTGAGAAGTAGGGAGAGACTATAAATTCTTTGGGGAGCTTTCCTCTGCTTTGTTGCTTTTTTTGGACATTTGAATAGTATGAATGAATCAAATATTTCATTATTTCATTGCACTGCAAACAGTTTTGCTTGTAGTCTAACATATTTTGTCAATATTTTTTATCCAGCATGCATTTCCACTAAAACAATGTTACTGTATCGTGAACAAGTTTAAGAGCTTTAGCTCAACTGTACTCCTTCCAGTAGCATTCCACATGGTTGCTATTTTGATTTTATGAAGTGTCTTTTCTATAATATTTAAGTCTTCCTTAAGCTAAATATTTTGATAGATTTGGTCGAGGTAGAGAAATGAGCTTTATATCAGTAAGTATCATGGCTGGATGAATAAAATATTATAAATCTCTAAATTATTATCTTTTAATTTTTATATGGGAATAGCCTTCTATGTGAAGTTGCTCTTGGGACTGATCTGGAAGCTTTGAACAATGCTGAATGCAATGGCTAGGTTGCTCACTGCACACATATTATTGCTAGGGAACTGCACTAGTTGCTGGTCTGTTACAAAGCCAACATAAACTGCTGATATGCAGAATTCTAAAGTATACAGAGTTTTAAAGTGATGTAAAACTCTGGGAAAGATTCTGCTTTTTCAGATGTGGTTTTCGGGTTACAACTTAGTGATTATAACTGATTGTTTCTGCAGCATTCCAGACCCTTGCATTTTAGAGAACTGTTAAACACAGATTTAAACACACACTAATTGTTTTTAATTAAAGCAAGCATTTTTATGTTCACTCCATTGCTATCTTATGCATAGATTATTTTTATTCAGAAATATTATTTTATAAGACAGTGCATAGTATTTGAAAGAGGTAGCTCAGTTAGCTTGACTGAAGTATCCTTCTCAAAATGTTAAAGAAGCCAATCCTTTGAAAGCCTGTGTTTCAAAGTATGTTTGTGGATATTTGCACATATATGTGAAAACATTGACATGACATTGCTGTCAGCATACAAATATTACACATGTACAGACAGCTTTTCATACTTTGTACAGCCTTATTATTATTGGTTAATCTTCAATTTGATTCACAGTCTAGGATTGGTAAAAACTTAACCATTCAAGTCTTAACCAATGACCTAATAACTGTTAAGGTAATGTCTGAGTACATAATAATAACAACAACAACAATGACAACAACAACAAAAATAATAATAAAAAACAACTTTAGAATTGACAGATGTGCAACAATGGCAATCAAAGCAGGCAAGGTCATAGAAGATGATGGAATAAAACTAGAAAATGAAGAAATGATAAAGGCAATGAAACCAGAAGAAGGCTACAAGTACTTAGGGATTTTAGAAGCCTCTGATTTAATGCATAATAAAGGCAAGGAAACAACTTCAGCCAAGTACTTTCGAAGAATTCACAAGATTTTAAAGTCCAAGTTGAGTGGTGGAAACATCATAAAAGCAATAAATACCTGGCTATACCTGTGATTCGATACTCTGCAGGAATAATT